AACTGTAAATATAATTCGGCTGCTCTTAAGAGAACTGCTAATGGTATTTAACATGTTTTGGTTCTCAAGTCAAAGAATAAATTTAATTTATCCCGTCGTTGCGTTCTCTATAAGTATTAAAATAAAATAATACTAAAAATTACTTTTCACACTTTGTTTATCTTTTTACACATACATTTAATTCAATAAGGCAAAGTTGCTAACTAAAACAAACGTTTTGATGGCTCTACCTCCGGCTCTGCATTGCTGTCCAGCGGGCGAGTCAGCTCAATGGAGTTGATGCGGATCATTGTATTGGGAGATCGCTGGAAGTTGATGCGCATATACTGTTTCCTGCGCTTCTTCTTAAAGTGTGTCTTCGTGTGCGTCAGTGTCTTCTCGATAATGGTGGCCTTAACAGTGACCAGGCCCGCTTCCAAAATAGGCCTACCAATCAATGTGAAGTCACGGGCACCCGCCAGCAGCACTTTGTCGAGACTAATCTCATCGCCTATCGTTGGTGGCCAATAGCCCTCGACTAGAATGATGTCTCCAGGTGTAATCTTGAATTGCTTGCCACACAGATGAACCACAGCGAATAGCCGGCCCTGTTCGGATTTAGCCACCTGCTGATTGATTCGCTCGCATACTGTCTGACACTCCTTCTGATGCTCCTTTGCAATGGCAGACACATCAATTGTTGCGGGTTTGTTTTGCTGCTGAAGTGTGGGAGATAAGCTCAGAGCACGCATTGCACCTGCAATGGACGGCGAACATGGGAATGTTATGTCATGGCATGCTGAACAGAATTGTTTACATGCTTACCGCTTAATGTGGCGCGCTGTGTTGTGTGGCGCAGCAGCTGGCGCATGCTCTGTGTTAGTAGTGACATTTTTTATACAGCACTTTAGTTTTCAATATTAATAAAAATAATATTAACAAATATTTAGGCAACACAAATGTGCCGATAGCCCTAGCCTCTTCGCCTATCGGTAGTGCTATATAAGTGCTCAGAAATATCGCTTAACAGCACTTGCCATTTGTAAGCACTCAAAAGCTAACTGCTATAAATGCAATTGAGGCGATTTGAGTTAAGCAAGCGCTGCTTCGCACTTCATGCAGTTCAGTTAAAACATAAATTTACCTGTGTTGTGTTCAATTTAATTTTTTTTAATATTTACCCTGGCAAGGAAATAATGTTTCAAGCAATCTAATAGTGGGATTAATGTAGATCAGTTAATCTACTGCATTGGCCATACAATTCAATACATGTATGATTACTAATGTAACGGAAGTAAGTGTTGCATACATTTTTAAATCACCATCGTGCAACAGCGCTGCCTACCTTTCATAAGCTAGCTGCTCTACTACAAAAATAATCGATACATTGGCATCGAAGCAAGCGTCGCTGCGCACTTCAAGTATTTAAATTGGAGCGGAAATTTTTTGTAGCAAAATTATATTAAAATAACTACAAATAACTGAAAACTATGGAGCATAACATGTTTCAAGATCCGACACTGGAGCGCCACTTCACCGGACACAGCGGTGCCATAACACAGTTGCGGTTCAGCCCCGATGGCCAACAAATCGCAACTAGTTCCATGGATACCACAGTTATTTTGTGGAACCTCAAGCAGGCAGCGCGTTGCATTCGATTTGCCTCGCACTCTGAGCCCGTTTATGGAGTGAGCTGGTCGCCCAAGGGCAATTTCATGGCCTCCTGTAGCCAAGACCGCACCGTCAAGATCTGGGAGCCCAAGGTACGCGGTGTCTCGGCCGAGTTTCTCGCTCACGGCAAGCCGGTGCGCAGCGTGGACTTTGATCCCACTGGGCAGCTCCTGTTGACCGCCTCCGATGACAAATCGGCAAAACTGTGGCGCGTATCACGACGTCAGTTCATCTCGTCGTTTACTCAGCAGACCAATTGGGTGCGTGCTGCCAAGTTCAGTCCCAATGGCAAACTCATGGCCACCGTCAGCGATGACAAATCTCTACGCATCTATGACCTGACCACTGGCGAGTGTGTGCGCACCTTTACCGAGGAGCGTGCTTCGCCCCGTCAGCTAGCTTGGCATCCTTGGGGCAACATGGTAGCCGTTGCCCTCGGCTGCAATCGCATCAAGGTCTTCGATGTGGTCAATAGCCAGCTATTGCAGCTGTATGTCGTACACTCGGCACCTGTCAATGACCTGGCTTTCCATCCAAGTGGCAACTTCCTCTTGTCGGGCAGCGATGACAAAACTATACGCATATTGGATCTGCTGGAGGGCAGGCCCATCTATACGCTGACTGGACACACAGATGCAGTGAATGCCGTCGCATTTGATCATAACGGCAATAAGTTTGCCACAGCAGGCAGCGATCGCCAGGTGAGTGCACTGAATCAGGAAACTTATGTAAATATATCAATTATAATTTCCATCTTTATATTGCAGCTCTTCATTTGGCAATCCAATTTGCACACCTATGATGCTTCACAGTTCGATGAGAAGTCCATGGCAACATCGGCCGCCGACACCAGTGGTGCCTCCAGAACTAGCTTCGATGCTGTCTCAAAGACCAGCAATGATTTGAGCATTCGCATTGATCCGCGCGAATCGGCTGCCTATCGAGCACTCGACGAGCACTTCAAGGTGGTTGAAAGTGAACACTCGAAGCAGCCGCAATCACCAATGAGCTACCTCTCCAATGCGACCAGTCCCAAATTTCGCGATCATGCGAAAGTTCCGGGCCTGGAGCAAAAGCTAAATACAAAATATAAAAATACTCCATTTTTTAAGTAATAGAGCTCTAAGCAAAACACACAGCTGCATCGTCACATAGCAAAAACATAAAAAATAAAACAACCCGAACAGCAAGCTTATAGCAAAACCTTCCACAGGTACTGGATGTATCGCTGGAATCTGAGTCGTGCTCCGATTGCTGCAGCTGTGCCGCCCAGCTCGATGACATGAACAACCAAATGATGCAGCTGGAGCAGCGTTTAAGGCGTTTAGAATGTCTAATCTTTGACTCAAACTAAATACTATGTTTATACACATAATTCATTGTGAATTTAATTTTATTAATTTAATTATATATCATTTTTATGTAAACAATATAAGACCTCAAGATCCTTGCCTAGAAACAACTAAATTCTGTTGCCTGAGAGTATTGTATTTTAATTAAGCATGGATGTAATTATTTTAGTTTATTGTTAATGATGTCGTGGAAGAAAATGTAAGTCGATTGAGCTAGATATTAACTACAGGAATTATGTAGAAATAATAAGTAAAAGCTGTATCGAGTATGTGAGAATGGTGAATACTTATTTATGGCATAGTCCACAATTCTTCTGCTTTATATGCATGCTTTGTACAAATGTGTGAGCATAATTGAAAAGGAACATAAGCGAATTAGAGTAGTATCAAGATCAGGAAATATAAATACAACGACACACTTTCTAATGCCACTAAAATAATGTGCCTTTAGTATACTTTTACTTATATACATATATAGCTTAAGAGGACAATAAAATTAGGCAGACTCATAAAAGAGAATGAATTTATTTCAATTGGACTATATTTTATGATTGGCTGAAATTTTGACATACTATTCTCATAAATACATTCTTATACATACATATTGAACACGCATAGAAATAAGTGATATACATACATATATGTAAAAAATTCATTATTATTGTTAATTATACTTATACATTTTTCATATACATTTAGCATTTTTTATATAAATTACATGAATTGTTTTTATATGTTTAATAATATATATACCGCCCTATACCCCCCTATACCGCCCTATACCCCCCTATACCGCCCTATACCCCCTATACCCCCTATACCCCCCTATACCCCCCCTACCCCAGCCGTCAGCAATTCTTTTTTTAGCCGTACCCCCTACCCCTATACCCCCTATACTATACTATATATTTAATATACTATAATATTTAAATTGGTCATATTAATAATACAGTTGAAGAACATTAAAGGACTTTAATTTTAATTGATTTTCAATTAATAATATAAACTAATTTGTATTTTAATATGCTCAATATTCTCATTCATTTTATCCCATTGGCAAATCAAGCATCATATGTCAAACATATTGAATATATATACATATATATCAGTAATAGCTACCCTTTGCATCAGCCAATGAACTCAGTGCAGTTCATTCAACTGCTAACCAAATGCCTATGGAGTAGCTCGCTTCTAATGATCATCTCGCCGAGGGGGCAGGTTCAATGGCTTTAGTCAAGTTAACTTGTTGCTGCATTTACAAGCTAATTATGCGCTCGCGACATATTGGCACAAAATTGCAGTAGCCAAGGGCCAGAGCCAAATGCCGAATGCCGAGTGCCGAATGCCGCAAGCGAAGTTCAAACGAATGCAACAATTGGCAGCCACAATAAACAAAAGGATACTTGAGAAATTAGTGTGACAAGCGAACAATTTCCACCTGTAGACAGTTAAGGCCGTAACTGTTCTTTGGCCAACATGCAGTTATAGGGTGCTGAACTAACCCTCTTTTCTTTTCTTGTTTGGTTATTTAATTTGGGCATAGAAAAAGGTCATTGTCATCGCAGGCAGGCAGGTTCAATAAACTGAAGACTTTTGCATTTTCAAATAAATAAGCTGAGAGCTCGCAAAGAACCGCAAGAAAGCGCTTAACAACTGAGCAGGATCTGCGGCCAGCCAAAAGCAGGAGCAGGAGCAAGTACCCTACTTTTCTGCAGGACATTGTAGGAGGCAGCAGCAACAGCAGCAGCAACAGCAGCAGCAGCAGAAGCAGGGGCAGTGGCAATGGCCGAGGCAGAGGTCCTGCATGTGGCATGTGCCACAAACGAGCCGAGGCACCCTCTCTATCTGCCTCTCTCTCTGCTCCCTCTCTCTTCGCCTCTCTGCTAGCTAAGCTCAGCTTTTGCCTCTGCGCTTCGGGCACTTGCGTTGGCTCGTGTCATCTGTTGAATTATAAAATATGGCAAAGGAATTAATTTGGCCAGCGTACGAACAGAGTCCGAATCTGGCACAGCAGCAGCCGCAGCAGTGGAGCTCTTAGGATAACGCCTAAGGACCCCTACCAATCGTTCCATCTACCGCAATGCTCTGACTGCAACTTCTTTTGCTTATCTCTGCGCACCTGTCGCTGCTCGATCTGCAGACAAAATGAAAAGGTGCGCTTAAATTCTTATAATGACTCGGACAGAGCGCAGACGCGCAGTCAGAACTTCTCCGTTCTCTGTGTGTCTGTCTCTCTGTGTGTGTGCGTGTGTCTGTGTTGCATCTTCTTGCCGCAATTTGTTGTCCTTTTGTTTGCCGCTTGCCGTCTGTTGCCTCCCAAATCTGTCTATAATCTGTGTTTAGGCCATGCACATTGATTTCAGCTCAACATCAGACAAAACACCTTGTGCGTGCCTTCAAAATGCACGTTTCTGGTTTCGGCTCTTGTGCCCATTGATCAAGTGTCTGGGAGGGTATATTGGCTTTGTGGAAGGAGATGTTAAGGGTCAATGAAAGGCGGTATGGATGATAGAGAGTCTATGTGTACTTGATAAAGATGTATTCTTCAATTTGCCTAAGCTTGATCAAGTTGTGTCCATCTTCTTCTTTCATCGTCTCTCATTGTCTAAGCGAACTCGTAATCTGCAGAATTGACAGAGCTGAAAGTTGTATTATATATTCTTGGAAACCATGGCAGTACATGTTTTTCGTATTTGTTCCACAACTCATCTCATAATAATTTTTATTTTATATATTATTGGTGATGAATATTTAAGTTACCAAGGTTATTTTTTAAATATAGTTATACACAGAATATGAATAATTCAGATTTTATATTTATTTATATTTAATTTTTATTTTTTTTATTCAATATTTAATTTAATAATTAAATTTAAATAACAAAAATTTGGTTTATATTTTCTAAACAGAAATAAACGTATATTTTAAATATATAAGATTTAATATTTATATATTTTAGCTTAAATTAATTTTTATTTATTT